ATCTGACATCTCTTGCATCACTTATTTCCCAGAGACTGAACAAATCTTTAGAGAGTCGCTGATTAAAAGCTGCAGTAAACGGTTTCTAGACTCTAATAAAAGGAGCCAAAAGTCTTCAGGTATTTTGTTCCAGAAACTAAATTAAACTTGAGTTTTAGTTTTGGTCCTGGATGCTCTGGATTAATCAGAGATGAAAAAGAGTTTTTGTAGAAACTGATTTGGATTTACAGGTTTATTTGCTTCACTTTCTTGTTTTGGATCAAAATGAAGTGTTTGCCTGGCGGGCCTCGCCTGATCCTCACTGCTTTGTCAGCATTAAAGTACGTCAGCGTTCACACTCTGTGATGACTCACAACTTGTACTTCTTGCTGTTCAGTCAACTTTGGAGCTTTGTGAAAACAGTAACTGCTAAACTCCTGGGAAGAGCTTGTTTGGTTTAACTGGTTTGAAATTAAATGGGTGTATCTGGAAGCTGGTTTGAATGGAATAAAAACATTAAGGCTGCAGGAGATCAAACCTTTTAAAGAATTAGATTTTATCAGGTATTTGGACAAAAAGGCAGGGCTATTAGTGTGTGATACACATTGGTTAATATGGGTGGATTCCTGGAAAAGTAATGGATTACATGGTACTATTTTAAAGTAGTTATTGCTTTGCATTGATGTATGGAAATGGAAACGCACAGCTAGGAGGTCAGGTTAATGAGTTTCCAGTGACATGCAGAACACATTACGCTTGTTGGCTGGTTTTCTGTGTGCTTGATGCCTGCATCTGGTTTGGCTTACTATTGGCTGGAACAGTTTATGGAAAAGGGAAGAGTAATTCAGCGAATTACAGCTTCATCGCTGGATTATTGTAATTTTCCAGGCCTATCTTTATCAGAGCTAAACTGGTCGTCCTGTAGCGCAGTTAAAGGTTCACCGTCGCATTACATGTTACATTATTCACTCCGATTCCAGGTTTATCAGGAAAAATAACCACATCCTACTGGGATGTATATTTCTGTTTTACTTGCATGTTAAATTAAGCCATTCATGTTTATTTAAGATGACAGAGGTGTGATGCTGCAAGAATACGACGCAGCTAAGCCAGTTTTCACCTCCCAGTGAAGGTTTAACCCCGGCGGACCCGGTATAGAGCCCAACTGACACCTGCACATGTTTATCCATTTATAGAAAAGGCCAAAACAGTCGCATGGTGTTTCATCCACACGCCTTTGAAATGGGTTTTTACAATTTTCTGTTTCAACATCATTTTTCACAAGTACTTGTTTTATAGCTGTGTAAACAATCTGACATGTGTGAATCTGGAGTAATGCAACAGCAGGTATTAATTCTTTAGCCCCGCCCCCTAATGACCGGCATCATTGGAAGCCAGAGGCTCAGACTTTTCCAAGGAGCGGTTGAACGTAATTATGCGAGCATTTCCGGTCGTGTAACCGCCGTGCGTTACATAAGTTTGCTCTGTTCTTTTCTATTCAGTTTGGTGATATTATTGGTAAATTTCAATAAAAAAACGACTAAATCTTAGGAGCAAAGGCTTCGTCTTATCCAGAAGGTCTCCTATAATGGAATTGAAAATTTTCGTCTGAGCAGATTCCCTTTTATGAGCGGAAAAACGCATTTTTGCATGCTTGGCATTGTGCTGAAATCAGATTTTTTTAATTTTTTTTTTGCCACACAGAACACTAAAACCTTTGTGGAACCAACATGGTTCAACTTATTCAGTCCAAATCAGCTTGAGTTATGGTCAAGATGAGGATCTATAAAGTCTGAGGGTTCATCCAGAGTTTCAAAATGGGGTTTTCATGGTTAGCAAGGCTAAATATTTTTTTATTTTTTTGTTTAATCACCTATAAATCAGACATGGTGACATTTAAAGTAGTGGTTCCACCTGCAAAATATTCCTCAATGCCTTTCTGTCATGGAAATACTAACAATTGTATTTCCAATTTATAGTTTGGGAACTGAACTTACTTTAACAGGGTTTCTGTGAGTCATTCAATTATTTTAAATTAAGCCTGGAATTGGCATTGAAATTTCTTAAATATGATTATTGTGGCGTTTAAAAAAGTTTATGAAAACAATTTCCTCAGATATATTTTGCGACATTTATGCAGAACTGCTCAAAACTGGGGGGGGGGTTATGCTAATTTTAACTTTTTTAAAGTGGCTGGAAAACGAGGAATTCAGAACATGGTTGCAGCCTGTCGAAGGTAAAGATGACGAAGGATTTAGCCGTGTATATATGAGAAATAATTTTAACGCCATCAACAAGTAGCCATGACTCGTAAGAGCGTTAAATTAGATTTCCTCATTCCTGTATAAACTGTTTAATTCACATATGTAATTTGCTCCTAAGACCCTCTGGGCTTAAGGTGATAAAGTCTCAGATCCAGGGTGTTTTTTGCAGTGAAAACGCTGAAGGCCGGTGTTCACCGAGGCGTTCAGATGTAGCGGAGTTGATGGATGAGTGAGAAAATGTCCTCATTAATACTGATGCTAGTGATGGCAAAGCTATGCTTGGCGTCTACAGTCTGAGAGCAAATGATGGTTAAAGCGGAGGGGGGTTAGTTTTGTGTTGGAGCTGCTAGAAGATTCTTCTGCATCAGACTCGGTTCTGGTCTCATCAATAAAGCTTTGAGTCAGAATCAGAGGCGCAGCGGTCAGAATGAGCCCACATTATGAGCAGACACTCATTGGTCTACCTCTGGTTTAGATCTGAAAGAATCAGGAGCACAAGATCCTGTTTTTCTTTACTGTTAAATGCTAAATGCTAAATGCTCGTTGATGATAAACGAGTTCATTAGCATCATGGTTGAGGTTTGCCTTTCTGCAACGTGCATAAATCTGTATGGATAAAGCTGGATGTGTTTTGGAGCATTCATGTCCGTCATTTGCTCTGCGTGTTTATCATGTAGCTTCCGCTAACGGCTAAAGCTTCTGCTTCAGTAAAAATCCCACCTCTTTAGTCCGATTCTCTCCAAAGGAGCCGCTGACCCACTTTGAAAGGTTTTCCTTTATGGCTGCATTTCTGTGGCAGATATTCCAGGTTTCTCCTCCGCTAACATTACTTGGGGTGAAATATTTAGTTGAAACATTTCAAAGCTTTAGCAGCCGACCTCTGAGCGACGCAGAGAAACCTTCTAGGGCTCCAGTGAGCCACCTGGACGCCTTCAGGATGAAGCGGGTCTCAAGGTCAGGAGTTATTTTGGGATCATGAGTCGTTCCCATGTCAGCTGCAGCAAACTGTGCCACAGGAATGACCTTCAGTCTGGAAAGCACTCTGACTGCTGTGGGAGCAGGAGGGGAAACTCAGCTGCACATTCAGGTCGTCAGACTTTACATTTGTTTATCTACTAAAAAA